TTAACCCCTGCAAGTCTTCTCCAGCGAAGGTTGCTTGGGTAGGGATGTGGAGAGGGGTGGAGTGCTTCTGAACTGAGCTTCAGAAAAAGGTGCTTAGGTTATGGAAAATCTAGGAAGTCACTAACCAAGGATGTTGAGAAACGTTCTCTTAGCCTCTTGCTGAAGCTTGGTTATGATTTCTTTCAACAGTCTGGCTCCCTGAGTTTAAAAGAAAATGGTAGCTTGTTTTCTTTTTTCCTTTTGTTTGCCACTCTTCTTTTTCCCTTTGTTGGCCACTCTGCCACGTATCTTAAAATTATTGTGCTAGGATAGACCATTGTAACAGTTCTTTAAAAAAATATTTAAAATGTCTACAAACACCTAGGCCTAGCTTGGTTTTGAGCTCAAAAGGGCAACCCAAGCCAAGGGTTGGGAGTAGTTTGCAAGAACAGACCTTTGATGGAGAGTTTAAAAAAAAAAAAAGCTTTTCTTTTGGTCCCTCCCCTCACCCTCCGGAACACACCTTTTGTGTGCTCTGCCAAACAAAGGAATTTCCCAACTTCATTGATGAAGGAGGGAAAAGTAGGAGATCTACCGGCTTCCGCCAGACAGGCTTCTAAGTACAAAGGATTACACGAAACAAAATAAAAAAGAACCCAGGATGCTTGCAATATACTAATTGGAGACAAAACCCGCGATACTTTAGAGTTAGCAACAAAAACAGCAACAGCAAAATCCTAAAGCATTTGGAATTCCTTTGGTTTCTGTTTGGCTTGAGAATCATATGATTTCTTTGTTCTGCTTTTCCTTATCTACTATGCTCGGATAATAGTTTTATTTCATTCACGTAGTCAAATTACTATTTTTCTTGTTGCAGAATGGTACACAAGGTGGTCTGACATAGAATAACAGAATAGATCTTTTTGCATTTGTGTGTGTGTGTGTGAAAGGGATGGAGAGTATTTTTTTTTCTTAACTTAGAAGCTTTTGTCAGCTATGAAATCCAGCCATTTGCCACATGAGCCAAGATGGATGCTTTGCTTTTTAACTATTGGTCTACCTGGCAAAGAGGTTTCTCTGAAATCCTCTTTGTGAAGATAGAACTGAAATACTCTGCTTGAAATGAGTGTTGTTTTACTTTTCAGGGGGTTGCTTGTGGTATTTAAAAGCAGATTCAATGCTATCTCTTGGCATTTGTGCAAATGATGAATTGTGCATTTAAAACAAATTTCCTGCTGTCAAAGGTTGACCAAAACATTGGTTTTATAGAGAGCCTCATTAAGTATTTGGTATTATGAATTGCTTATGATAAGCAATTCAGACTTTGGTTCTGAGAGTTCAACTCTTGTAACCATTCAAATGCTGCTTGGCTCTGATTTCTACTCTGAGAGGGTGTGGGGGAGGGGCACAAGGGCTTTTTAAGTAAACAAAGATTTCAAATCAACCGCAGATTTACTAGGGGGGGTATACATTATGAAATTCCATGTTTTGAAATGTGCATAGAATATCAAGACTTCAAATGAGTAGATCCTTGTATACAGTCCAATACACTTTTTTTTTTACATGCATATTAATACTGGTCTACCTTTAGGAGAATAAAAAGGCTTCCTTTCAAATGAAATTAAGCTCAGGTACAGTGGAAACTCTACACACAAGAGTACTGGCATTGTTTTCCTGGCTCAAAGAAGACAAGTTTCAATTTCATCGTCTTGTAACACTGATAATGGGATGTTGTGGCCGGCAGAATTGGCAGATCACCTAGGTTTTTCTAAATGCGTGTAAATATGTATTCCCACTCACATACATCCCCACATAATTTGCTCTTTGAAACTGAACACAACTCTTCTGTGGGATAATAATTCGGGTTATGTGCACGCAAGGTCTTATATAGCAAATGTGCTCTGTAAGGGTTACATCATTCAGTCTTCCTAGATCAGAGAACAATGGCTTCCTCCAGGGAAGTGAGCCAGAGTGGGATACTGAGATTTCTTTTCTTTTTCACTTTCTGCACACTTTGTGGACATTAAGCAATCAATCTGATCTAAAATAAAACACGCTGGAATGCCTTCTATGCTAGGGAGTCTCCACTGCGGCTCCAGTCAGATTATTGTCTTCAGAGTCAAGCAAACAGGAGGGGGCCTTTTTAGGAGGTAATGGTGACTTTTTTTTCCCCTAGTCCTTCCATTTTGTCGTTTCCAGTGTCAGCACAATTAGCTTGACATGGAGGGTTTCTGTGCGTGTGTGTGTGTGTGTGTGTGAGAGAGAGAGAGAGAGAGAGAGAGAAACCCTTTCAATGGAGGGCAACATAGGGACCAGGAACCCAGGTTGGAAAATAACATGACTTCATCAGGAATGGAAATATTGTTGCAGTATTCTCCCCCCCCCCCTCCGGTCCTCAGCTCCACCCAGACCTGAGCTCCACCCGGCCCCGGAGTTCCCGCCACATAGCTGGCCACTCCCTCTCCCTGCGCCAGGACCTGGCTACGGGCCCCAGAGCTACCCATCTGGGTAGGGGCAGACGCCATATTGCTCCCTCTCTCGGGGAGCTATGGCCCCTCTAATAAACCTTATAGTAATCTCTCTCCTGTGCCTGCCTGCCTGCCTGCGTGTGGCCCCCTGGGATGGCCGGGATGGATCCCAACAAAATACATTGTCTCAATCTCCACTGGATTGTGATTATAACCCTTCAGTGGCCTTCCACGTGTGCGCTTCAGTGTTTTGTAAACCATGGCCACCTGCTGTATGTATAGAATGTGCTGGTTACATTTTGTACAACATCTTCTTTCTAGAATGTAAAGATCCAGCGATTACATCTTGTTTACTCAATATCATTCCTCCATTAAAAAAACACAAAAATCCACCCCCCTCCACCAACCCCTCCATGAACTGAACATGCCATGTTTCAATCTGGCCCCAGTGGCTTTTTCTCTGCAAGCAAAACGTGTGTCTTTTCCACTAGGGCTTTCTCACTCCACCCCAGGGGTGTCTTCTATTCTTTTGTGGCTCAGTTTAAGGCGAAAAAGGCCTCCAAAACCCACTAAACTAACCCGAGGAGAACCCTGGCTTCCACCTCCAGGGAGAATTTCCGAGTTAATTCATCTGAAGATAGCGTGCTCTCTTCTTCTTACTTATTTGCCACCATTACGAGGAGGACAGAACACCACGTTGGCTTCCAGATCCTGGGTCTTTTGCAACCAACCCCGTCTCTGGCGAGGCCTTGCTTCCTTCCACTCGAGTAAGTTGCGGCTTGGGGCCATGGAAAGGACCGGGTGAGAGTCAGAAATGTCGTTTGAAAAGAAAAAAAACCCCATCCACAACAACAACAAAAAGCAGCAGCAGCAGCAGCCGCCGCAGCCGCCTTTCCCTCGGCCCCCCTTACCACCACCCGCACCAGCACCGCAACGCCCGGCTCTGATCTCCCCGGGCGGGCCGAGCCGCGCTTCCCGCAGCCCCGTGAGGGCGAGACCCGGCGGGTCTGCGGGGCGCCGCTCCGCCGCCCGCCGCGGGGCTCCCGAATCTCCCTTCCCCCGCGGCCGCCCCCTCCCCCTCGCCCGCGCTCCCTTTTGTTCGCTCGCCGCCGGGCCCCGGCCTCGGCGCCCCCCCCCCCCCGACCCCCAGTCCGAGCCGCCGCCGCCCTCGCCCGGGCCCGCACCCCCAGCCCTAGGCCCCGGCGTGGCGGGCGGGCCGCTGCCGCCGCCGCGCGGCCTAGAGCGCGCGGGGCCCGGGGAGCGCGGGGCCGGCCGGGCGCACGGCGAGGCCGCGGTGGCGGCCCGGGAGTCCGGGGAGGCGGCGGTGGCGGTGGCGAGGCCGCTCCACCGCACACGCACACACAGACCCGGCCGCGGGAATGCAGACGACACGCCCGTAACATGGAAGCCGCCGCCGCCGCCGCCGCCGCTCCGACGACAGCAGCAGCAGCAGCAGCAGCAGCCACAGCAGCAGCCGCCGGCGGCGCCGCGCGGAACAAAGGTCATCCGAGCTGCGGCCCAGACGCCCGGGCTTGACCGCTGCCGAGGCCGACCCGGGCCCGGGGGTGGGTGTGCGCCTCCGGGCTGAGCGCGTGGGGGGGCGGCCGGGGGGGTCGGCCAGGCCGAGCGAGGGGCGCGGGCGGACACCCGGGGAGCAGCCGGGGCGCCGGCCCCGCGTGCCACCCCCAGCCGACCGGGGCGAGCGCGAGGCGCAGGCCCCGGGGCCTGGCTGCGGTGGCTTGGCCCACCCTCGCCTCGGGGACGCTTGGCCTTCGCGCCCCACCACCTTCCGTGGAGGCGGGGGGGGGGGGTGTCCGGGCCAGAGCTGGCGGTGCTAGGCCCCACCGGCTCGAGAGAGAAAGGGGGGGGCACGTGAGCGCAGCCGGCCCTTCTTCTCCCCCCTCCATGGCTGGCTGGGCTGAGCTGAGTCTCCCAAGGCCTCTGTGGCCCCTCTTCACGTGCCCCCCCCCCCCGCCCGTCGTCCCCAGTCATCCCCGAGGTGTGCCACCCCGAGGTGAAGGCATTGGGACTTCTCCCCCCAGGTGCTTGAAAGAAGAGAAGGTTGGAGAAGGAGGAGGAGGAGGAGACTTGGGGGGGCTGCTGGTGCTGCTGCTGCTGCTGCTGGTGGTGGTGGTGGTGACAGGGCTGGGAGAGAAGAGAGGGACGGAAGGGAGGAGGGGGCTGGGTGGGGTGGGGGTGACAGGCAGAGAGGAGCCTGGTCAACAAGCCAGCACCACTCTGCTAGGAGGCCAGGCCGGCTCCTACAGCCGACGCATCCTGTGTGAGGAGACACACATAGATTGCTTTCTTGGGGGCTCTTTGTCAAGCCACCAACACTGAGAACACACACTGACACACACGTACACAAAGATCTGAGCCAGGTTGTGGGAGGTAAGTGGGGGAAGGAGAAGGAGGGGGAAAACAGTGGCTGCGGTGGGCTTTGGGGTGGTCAGGGACGGGGGGATGAGCCCTGAGGGGCCCGTGGAGTGCTTGTGAGGTGAACATTTCCAAGGCTGTGTGCTTGTGGGGGGGATGGGGGGGGGGACGACACACAGGATGACCTTCCCCTCCTCAGGAAGGCCTAGAAGGGAGAGGCAGCCCCCAGCGAGGTCCCCCCATGCTGATGATTTTCAGAGACTTGTTGGCAACTCAGGGAGGGTTGCCATAGCTTTTTTATGTAGGGTGACCAGAACCGGCTGAAACTGGTTTGAGGCAGATCAGCTCCTGAACACAATGCAGTCACTGAGCTACTACAGTGGGATAGCAGCTTCCTCCCTTCATGGCAGCCAAAAGCAGAGGAGCTTGCAGGAAGGTGCCATCCCTACACAGTATGTGAATGCACACTTAGACACCACACAGCACTGGTACGTGACTAATGGAACCCTAAAAAGATCCTGTGTAGAGACGATGGGGAAAAAAAAGGTGCAGGTTTGCAAGGTCTGAGATGACTTGGGCTTTTCCTGCCTTTTTCTTTTTGCTTAAGGGATGGACAAGGAGCTGAGATTTATGACCCTTATTAAAGAAAAAAAAAAGGTGCCTTGCTAGGGTGGGGACACTTGGTTTGTGCAGTCTCTCTCCCTCTCCCTCTCTCTCTCTCTTTCTCTTTCTCTCTCTCTCTCTGTGCTTTTTTTTTTTTAAACAAAACAAAACCAGGATGAACTGATGGATTCGTAATGGTAGTTTGTTTGTTGCTGGAGAATGCTACTTTGCATGCTTTTTTTCTCTTGCAGGGTATGTTCTGTTTTGTGCTTTTCCTTTTAGAAGCTCCTAAAGGGTGTTGGGGATACTTCTGACTATTATGAAGGCCAAAAGGTAACAGTATTGTTCTAGGAAATGAGCAGAAATGCAATCCAGTGATGCTGTTAGCCATACATGCTGTCTTTTTTTTTTTTTTTTCCTTGTAGGCCTGTTGACTGGGGCTGCTTTTAACCCTTTCCTATTTGCAGAGAATGCAGCCGTGTGACAGTAACTGAACACTGGCCCAAAGTCTTTCCCAAAGGTCAAGGTTCACAAGGTGAGAGATGCTATTTTTAGCATGAATTTAAATATTAATTTGCAGATCCATTCAGACACAGACTGACAGTGCATTGGTATCCTGGAAGTGAATGGGGTTCGGTGTGGAGAAGAAATTCTCTTAATGTTGTCTGTGTTTAAGTGGGATTTGAGTGGCTTTTTGATGGTATTGCTACCAAGGTGAAATCTGAATGCCTTCATTAAATCGCATGTGCCTGGGCATTTGAAACTTCAGGCCTGGAAAGAGGCTTGTTTAGAGAATGGTAGGCGGCTGGGCCTTGTGAGAATGTGCTGGTTTGCATACGACTGAAGCAATACACATGGACCATTCTCCCCATGTTTGAAAGAAAACGTGAAGAAGGGCTTTACCAAATTGAGGCAGCCTAGCTACCTTTTTGTAGGATTTGAGGAGCCTGGAGGTAAACTCGTCTTTTGTTCATTCATCACTTTTTTTTTTAAACCTTTTTCTCTCTGTTAACTTGAAAGGTTTTTCACTTGAGTCAAGTGGTGGAATGTCTTTTATTGATTTTGGGGGCTGTCGACGGTGAGTTCTTCATCGGATTATTTGTAACATACATTTTAATGTGGAATACTAATGGAAGACCAGGAGGAAGGAAACCGGGGAGTCTGGTTTCATCTCAGCAAAGATATCTCTCAATTCACAGCTTTACTGTAATGGGTAGTAGAAAATGTCTTAATGCTTTCAAAAGACTGCAGTTAGATTTGAGCTGGCATTTTTGTGCACCTTCCCAAACCAGAGGTTGGAGAGGGAGAGGAGAAAGCAGAGAGGAGGGTAGCAGAGTGAATTCAGAACAAAGGCTGGGGGAGCTTCCAGAGGAACATGAAACAATTTGCCTTGGGGGTTCCTTGTGAAAAGAAAGACAACTTCCCCAAACAGGAAACCTGTCTCTCCAGACTCTGATCCCACTTGAGCTCAGCCACAGAACTTGTTCTGCCCTTCTGCTGGTTTGGTTAAAAGTATAGTCAAGAGGTGCCCATAGGAGACGTGATTGCAAGTACATTTCTCCCTCACTTTGAAGTGGGTTATTTTGTGCCTCTCTGGGCTCAGCAAAATAGTCTTTTCAAAATGTCGTGGATCTCAGAATTGGTTAAGTCCTGTGCTGGCAGTTGGTGGGCAGTCTAGCTGCAGTGAAGGGTGTTAAGTATGCAGGGTTTTTTTTAATTATTGAAATGTTTTTCATTTGCCTGTAGTAATCCACTGGTAAAAGGGGGACAAGAGTACGTTGGTTAGCTTGGAAGACTTTGGGCAGTATTTAATGGAGATAAATGTAATCTCGGGTGGATGTACCAGCAAATAGCTTAGACGATGGAACAAAATTCTTTGCGAATCACTGGGTTAAAATTGGTTTTCAGTTCTATCTTATTTCCAACTGCCAGAGGTTCTGTGGATGACTGGGGCAGAAATATGCTTGCAAAGCAGATCGGAACCTATGTTGCATGATATGCTGTTTCGGCATTTCTGGTGCCAACTAAAACTCAGATGGCTAATATGATAAACCTTAATTAGCTTAATACAATAAGCTGTTTTACCATTCAGTCCTTCGTTCCTGTGTTTCTAGAGCTGGGGATTTTTTATTTAACTTGGACAACTTGCCTCTTGCAATGACTATTTCTTAAGAATATGTTAAAAAAAAAAAAACCAAAACAAAACAAAACCTTTTTTAGGTACTTCATGTCATGGAATGTTCTGGCTTACTTGCCTGATGGTTTTTAGCTTTGTTAACCCCCCCCCCCCCCCCCCCCACTAAGTCTCCTGAAAATAGCATTTGTTTTACATCCAGGCCAGTCTTTCCAGCTGCAAATGCTGCTTAAGGTTGGAGAGCTGGTTCCCCCGGGCAGCAATCATGAGCTCATCTTGGATTGGAGCTGGCCTCAGGTGTTGATCTCACGCTGGGCTCTAACAATGCAGCAGGCCCTGGGCTCTGGGGAGCGGGACCTGAGAATTCTGGAGAATATGCAAGGGCTTGTTCCTTCCTGGGCAAACCGGGAGAGCCGGGAGAGCCAAGAGGCAAGGCCAGCCCAGGCACCCACACTTGGGGCGGGGCCTGCACTGGAGTCTGAGCCTGGCGCCTGCTTGGAATTGCCTGTGGCTGTCTCCTGGGTGGACGACCCGCGGGCCTTCCCTCTGCAAGCTGGAATGTGTGGGTTTGGCCCAGGGTACACTGGAAAGAAAGTGTAACTGGCTCAAGTGTTGAACACTTCTTGTTTTTATCCTTTGCCTGAAATGTAGTCATATTTTCCGTGTTCAGGAACACTAGATCCAGGCTTTTATAGCTTTCAGCCTCACCTGGTTCAGGAGTGTACCCTTACTCCTCCCCCACCCCTTTCCCTTTCGACTTCTATTTACTTTAAAATCAGAATCTTACTATGCAGCCAGGCTGGCTTTGAACTCACGAGCCTCCCACGTATCTCCCAAGTGCTGGAATTATAGGCATGTGCCATTACTTCTGGTCACTTTTTTTTTTTTTTTTTGTCGGTCGTGGGGCTTGAACTCTGGGCCTGGGCGTTGTCCCTCAGCTCTTCAACTCAAGGTGAGCGCTCTACCACTTGAGCTACAGCACCACTTCCGTGGTCACTTATTTTTTTAAACGAAGGTCTAGGGAAGAGGTAGGTGGCATAAATACAACTTTTTGCATATACTTTGGGACAGGGTGATTTAGGAGCCTCGTTTTTCCATTCCCCTATACTTCTTCCTTTGAGCTTTCCTAGGAGCATAGGTTATTTTTATGGCTTTCAAATAGTGCCTTTCTCTATCCCATGTGCCCTGCTGGTGCAGAGGTGGCCCAGATGTGAAGCCTGGGAAGAGGAGACAGTACTAGGGAGACTGGAAGGACTTGAAGAATCCTTGGGGCTGTCCTTTCCTTACTTTCCTAAAAGCTCCTATTCCATGAATCTTGGAAAAGGAGAACAGCAGAAAGACACATCTTTGTGTTAATAAGGATGGTCTTCCTCCTCCCCTCCCCCACGGCTGTGCTGGTTAGAGGGGTTTGAACCCAGGGCCTCATGCTCCCTTGTTTATCCTTCTAGGCTGATGCTTTATCACGTCATCCATACTCTCTCCATTTCCCTCTAGGGCTGTTATTCTTCTGTTTATTTTTGTTTTGGCTGAGCCCTGGGCTTGAACTCAGGAACCTGAGTGGTGTTCCTGAGTTTTTCCCTTTCTGTTGGTTGTGGGATTTGAACTCAAGACGTGGGCACTGCCCCTGAGCTTTTTTGCTCAAGGCTAGTGCTCTTCCACTTTGAGCCACAGCGCCACTTCCAGTTTAATTGGAAATAAGAGTCTCATGGACTTTCTTGCCCAGGTTGGTTTTGTACTGCGGATCTTCAGATCTCAGCCTCCTGAGTTGCTAGAGTTGTATGGACGTGAACTATTGGCACATTAAAAAAAAAATCACTGAGTAGTATTCCACTGTATGGATGTACCACAATTTGTTTATCTGCTTACTGGTTGAAAGACTTTAGGGTTGTTCCCCTTTCTTGTTGATTGTGATGAAAGGTCTTCACTTCTCTGGGAAAATAGGGCACTTGCCAGGTCCTATGGTCTGTACATGGGAATGAGAAGTTTGAATGAAACAAACTGAGCTCATTGTAACAGCGTGGAACGATGTGACTTTGGCACACCCGTGAACACTGTGGACACTGAGGGATGATCATGATAATACAGCTCTTTAATGGGATGACATGCTTTATAGCCCTGAACTAATCGGAATTAGCCAAAATGGAAACAAAAACCTGCAAGTTGTAAAATATCCTTTATTTCCTCCAGCTATTTTTAATGTCTTCAGAACCATTTGGCTGTTTAAGTTTTCACATTTGTCTTCAGGTTCAGTTAAACAGCACCCAATAATAGAGCTGAAATTTTGGAAAATGATACCGGAGATCTTTGTTGAAATAAATCATAGTTGTGTGTAAATAACCTCTTCATTATAGTTTGATTTATTGACTGCCAAAATATTGGTGACACTCTACTTACTCTTTGAAGTTCTTATTCAGCTTTAATACCTTGTAAGGGAGTAAATATAGCAAAGCAAAGCAACTAAAATAGGGGCACTGGAGTTCGCAAGCAGATTATTAGCATTGAAAAGGATAAAATAGCTGGGGGCTGGGCGCTCACACCTGAGATCTGAGGATGGTGGTTCAAAGCCAGTCCAGGCAGGAAAGACTGTGAGACTTTTATCTCCAATTAAACCACCAGAAAACCAGAACTGAAGCTGTGGCTCAAGTGGTAGAGTGCTAGTCTTGAGCAAAAAAGCACAGTGCCCATGCCCTGAGTTCAAGCTACAGGACTGGCGCGCGCACACACACACACACACACACACACACACACACACACACACACACACACACACACACACACACACACACGAAAGGATAAAATAGCTTTCAGGATGGGAGAGAACCAGTAGGCAGAGGTCATGGTGGAGGACAGTGGTGAGCTGGGTTAATTCAGGGATTCTTTCAGCTGTTCACTCCATACTTATTGTTTCCTGAGCCCCCAGCATTGTGTTAGTTAGGTCTTGTGAATGCACAAGGCAAAGGAAACCAGAGAGAAAAATCCAGTGGGAAGTAGACTAGAGAAGCTATGAGAGGAATGCAAATGGCCTTATAATGCCAAGGGTCGCGAGGGGAGCCCCTGAAGAAGTGGCCTCTGAGCCAAACCTGGAAAGCCCTGAGTGAGAATGTAAGGCATGGTGCCCGGCAGGCCACCCAGGCTGAGGGGAGAGAGCGTGCAGGGCTGGAGTAGGGGTATGAAGGCACAGAGAACATGTAAGAAGCCAGGTTGGTACCTCTAGGCATCAGGCAAGGCCAAACTGCTGCAGGTCTTAGTACACTGCAGTGTAAACTTCTGTGGCCAGCATTGGCAGAAAGACTTGCCTGTCACCACAAAGGTCCCGTGGCAGTCTCTGGGTGGGAGTGGGGGGGTGGGATGGCGGCAGGGAGGATGAGTGTGTTCCCTGTAACAGTTCAGAGGAGAAAACC